TGCTTTCTAAGCTCTTTAAATAATGTCAGCAATCCTATTCCTATGGCTGTCTCTTGCCTTGCTTTCTAAGCTCTTTAAATAATGTCAGCAATCCTGTCTTCCTATCTTTAAATAATGCAGCAATCCTATTCCTATGGCTGTCTTTGCCTTGCTTTCTAAGCTCTTTAAATAATGTCAGCAATCCTATTCCTATGGCTGTCTCTTGCCTTGCTTTCTAAGCTCTTTAAATAATGTCAGCAATCCTATTCCTATGGCTGTCTCTTGCCTTGCTTTCTAAGCTCTTTAAATAATGTCAGCAATCCTATTCCTATGGCTGTCTCTTGCCTTGCTTTCTGAGCTCTTTAAATAATGTCAGCAATCCTATTCCTATGGCTGTCTCTTGCCTTGCTGCTCTGCCTTGCTCTTTAAATAATGTCAGCAATCCTATTCCTATGGCTGTCTCTTGCCTTGCTTTCTAAGCTCTTTAAATAATGTCAGCAATCCTATTCCTATGGCTGTCTCTTGCCTTGCTTTCTAAGCTCTTTAAATAATGTCAGCAATCCTATTCCTATGGCTGTCTCTTGCCTTGCTTTCTAAGCTCTTTAAATAAGCATGTGTCTCTGCCTTGCTTTCTACAGCTCTGTTAAATAATCCTATTCCTATGGCTGTCTCTTGCCTTGCTTTCTGCTGTTTGCTCTTTAAATAATGTCAGCAATCCTATTCCTATGGCTGTCTCTTGCCTTGCTTTCTAAGCTCTTTAAATAATGTCAGCAATCCTATTCCTATGGCTGTCTCTTGCCTTGCTTTCTAAGCTCTTTAAATAATGTCAGCAATCCTATTCCTATGGCTGTCTCTTGCCTTCACTTCAGATCTCTTTAAATAATGTCAGCAATCCTATTCCTATGGCTGTCTCTTGCCTTGCTTTCTAAGCTCTTTAAATAATGTCAGCAATCCTATTCCTATGGCTGTCTCTTGCCTTGCTTTCTAAGCTCTTTAAATAATGTCAGCAATCCTATTCCTATGGCTGTCTCTTGCCTTGCTTTCTAAGCTCTTTATAATAATGTCAGCAATCCTATTCCTATGGCTGTCTCTTGCCTTGCTTTCTAAGCTCTTTAAATAATGTCAGCAATCCTATTCTGTCTATGGCCTGTCTGAGCTCTTTAAATAATGTTGCTTTCTAAGTCTCTTTAAGCTCTTTAAATAATGTCAGCAATCCTATTCCTATGGCTGTCTCTTGCCTTGCTTTCTAAGCTCTTTAAATAATGTCAGCAATCCTATTCCTATGGCTGTCTCTTGCCTTGCTTTCTGAGCTCTTTAAATAATGTCAGCAATCCTATTCCTATGGCTGTCTCCTGCCTTGCTTTCTATGGCTGTCTCTTGCAATCCTATTCCTATGGCTGTCTTTTGCTAAGCTCTTTAAGCTCTTTAAATAATGTCAGCAATCCTATTCCTATGGCTGTCTCTTGCCTTGCTTTCTAAGCTCTTTTCCTAATGTCTCAATCCTATTCCTATGGCTGTAATCTTGCCTTGCAATCTATGCTCTTTGCCTGATAATGTTCCTCTATGGCTGTCTCTTGCCTTGCTTTCTAAGCTCTTTAAATAATGTCAGCAATCATATTCCTATGGCTGTCTCTTGCCTTGCTTTCTGAGCTCTTTAAATAATGTCAGCAATCCTATTCCTATGGCTGTCTCTTGCCTTGCTTTCTGAGCTCTTTAAATAATGTCAGCAATCCTATTCCTATGGCTGTCTCTTGCCTTGCTTTCTAAGCTCTTTAAATAATGTCAGCAATCCTATTCCTATGGCTGTGTCTCTTGCCTTGTCTTTCCTAAGCTCTTTAAAAATAATGTCAGCAATCCTATTCCTATGGCTGTCTCTTGCCTTGCTTTCTAAGCTCTTTAAATAATGTCAGCAATCCTATTCCTATGTCTGTCTCTTGCCTATGGCTGTCTCTTGCCTTCTGCTTTCTAAGCTCTTTAAATAATGTCAGCAATCCTATTCCTATGGCTGTCTCTTGCCTTGCTTTCTAAGCTCTTTAAATAATGTCAGCAATCCTATTCCTATGGCTGTCTCTTGCCTTGCTTTCTAAGCTCTTTAAATAATGTCAGCACATCCTATCCTATTCCTATGGCTGTCTCTTGCCTTGCTTTCTAAGCTCTTTAAATAATGTCAGCAATCCTATTCCTATGGCTGTCTCTTGCCTTGCTTTCTAAGCTCTTTAAATAATGTCAGCAATCCTATTCCTATGGCTGTCTCTTGCCTTGCTTTCTAAGCTCTTTAAATAATGTCAGCAATCCTATTCCTATGGCTGTCTCTTGCCTTGCTTTCTAAGCTCTTTAAATAATGTCAGCAATCCTATTCCTATGGCTGTCTCTTGCTGCTGCTTTCTAAGCTCTTTAAATAATGTCAGCAATCCTATTCCTATGGCTGTCTCTTGCCTTGCTTGCTTTCTAAGCTCTTTCCTGATAATGTCAGCAATCCTATTCCTATGGCTGTCTCTTGCCTTGCTTGCTTTCTAAGCTCTTTAAATAATGTCAGCAATCCTATTCCTATGGCTGTCTCTTGCCTTGCTTTCTAAGCTCTTTAAATAATGTCAGCAATCCTATTCCTATGGCTGTCTCTTGCCTTGCTTTCTAAGCTCTTTAAATAATGTCAGCAATCCTATTCCTATGGCTGTCTCTCTCTGCCTTGCTTTCTGAGCTCTTTAAATAATGTCAGCAATCCTATTCCTATGGCTGTCTCTTGCCTTGCTTTCTAAGCTCTTGCTGTCAGCTCCTGTTCCTATGGCTGTCTCTTGCCTTGCTCTGAGCTCTAATAATGTCAGCAATCCTATTCCTATGGCTGTCTCTTGCCTTGCTTTCTAAGCTCTTTAAATAATGTCAGCAATCCTATTCCTATGGCTGTCTCTTGCCTTGCCTTTCTAGCTCTGTCTAATGTCAGCAATCCTATTCCTATGGCTGTCTCTTGTTCCTCGAGCTCTTTAAATAATGTCAGCAATCCTATTCCTATGGCTGTCTCTTGCCTTGCTTTCTAAGCTCTTTAAATAATGTGCAATCATTCCTATGCTGTTCTTGCCTATTCCTATGTCTGCAATCCTAATTGCTCTGCCTGCTTCTAAGCTCTTTAAATAATGTCAGCAATCCTATTCCTATGGCTGTCTCTTGCCTTGCTTTCTGCTGCTCTTTAAATATGTCAGCAGCATCCTATTCCTATGGCTGTCTCTGCCTTGTTTCTACAGCTCTTTCTGATAATAATGTCAGCAATCTGCATGCTGTTGTTCCTACAGGCTGTCTGATTTAATTTGCAATGCTATTCCTATGGCTGTCTCTTGCTTTCTAAGCTCTTTAAATAATGTTGTCAGCAATCCTGTTCCTATGGCTGTCTGCTTGCCTTGCTTTCTAAGCTCTTTAAATCTGATAATTTGCTGCATGCTGTTGTTCCTACAGTCTGTCTGATAATTTGCTGCATGCTGTTGTTCCCTCGGTCTGTCTGATAATTTGCTGCATGCTGTTGTTCCTACAGTCTGTCTGATAATTTGCTGCATGCTGTTGTTCCTACAGTCTGTCTGATAATTTGCTGCATGCTGTTGTTCCTACAGTCTGTCTGATAATTTGCTGCATGCTGTTGTTCCCTCGGTCTGTCTGATAATTTGCTGCATGCTGTTGTTCCCTCAGTCTGTCTGATAATTTGCTGCATGCTGTTGTTCCCTCGGTCTGTCTGATAATTTGCTGCATGCTGTTGTTCCCTCGGTCTGTCTGATAATTTGCTGCATGCTGTTGTTCCTACAGTCTGTCTGATAATTTGCTGCATGCTGTTGTTCCCTCGGTCTGTCTGATAATTTGCTGCATGCTGCATGTTGTCTGATAATTTGCTGCTGCATCTGTTAATTTGCTGCATGCTGTCTGTCGGTCTGTCTGATAATTTGCTGCATGCTGTTGTTCCTACAGTCTGTCTGATAATTTGCTGCATGCTGTTGTTCCCTCGGTCTGTCTGATAATTTGCTGCATGCTGTTGTTCCCTCGGTCTGTCTGATAATTTGCTGCATGCTGTTGTTCCCTCGGTCTGTCTGATAATTTGCTGCATGCTGTTGTTCCTACAGTCTGTCTGATAATAATCATTTCTAGCTTTGTCTGGGATAGTGAAGACTTTAAGTTGGTGGCTTTTCTGAGGCATCTCATTTTGCAGGTGTTAATTTTAGGCAGGCTAGCCTTTGATAATGTCCAAGTCTGGCACTGGTAGCACAGTGTTGGCATGAATCTGCTGTTTTTTAATCTGATTCTTGGTGCTCATACTTAGGTTTGAATTTCTTAATAATAGCTTCAGTTGGTATATAAGTGCACTGGCTCTTTGGCATCTTGTTTCTATTTCTTGATCTGTTTTCCCCGTCCTCTAAAAATATACTTGCTAGATATTAAAATTCTGTAACTTGCTTCAGACAAGTGCCATTCAACCCAAGGATATGTAGCGGACTAGGAATTCTACTGACCTGTATGACTTCAGTTGTTGCATTCTGTGTTAGTTACCAGAGGGTCTGAGATTTCATTGTTTAGTTTTGTTTATGTTTACGTAACAAACATTCATTCACTGTCCTGTTGTGCCATCTATGTCACTCACATAGGACTCACAGTCTATTCCAACATTCCATTCTATCCTGCACAGTCAGTTCAGTATCATGGATGGAAATCCAGCCCAGCAGCTTTGATCTCTCTCATCATCATTTATCTTAAGGTTTCTTGTGTAACACACAGCCATTCACTTATTTGATTTAGTGCTACATTTTGGATGTATGAATATCTTATGAGGACTCCCGCTGGAACGAAATTGCGACAAACCTAGCAAGCCAGCAATGGAGTCTGAATTCACTAAATTTCATTTGATCTCTTGCTCTTTCAGGCCCTGCTCTGGACAGTTGCAGCTGCAGATTATGTTTGATGTCTCTGTACTTGCCAGTTTTGAAGACTGAATCACAAAAGTGTTATTTCAAGAACTAGGCTGAAGACAGCAAAAGACACATTTTTCCACAATGAATACAATATTGAGTAAGCTCAGGGGAAATTCAGTGAAATCAGAAGAGCAGGCCGGACAGTCAGCTCAGAATGTCCAGGAGGAGAGTACTCTAGCAGAAGAACAAGACAGTATCACTGGCGATATCTCTGGAATGCTGACCATTTACGACGAGTCCATGAAGTCTCCAACAGATTCAGCAAAAGGTAAAATAATTGTGGAACTACTTTCTGTCATCCTTTCTGTCCCAGGTTGTTTCATTCAATGTATTCTCTTCTCTTTCTGTTGTCTGTGCACGTGACCTTGCCTTTCTTGATGTTGTCCATGCACATGTACGTGACCTTGCCTTTCTTGATGTTGTCCATGCACATGTACGTGACCTTGCCTTTCTTGATGTTGTCCATGCACATGTACCTGACCTTGCCTTTCTTGATGTTGTCCGTGCACATGTACGTGACCTTGCCTTTCTTTTGGTCACTTTCCCTCCATAAATGCCTGGAGCACACATTAGAATCATTTTTTCTTCCTCTTTAAAGTTGCCGCCTTTTGCAGAACCAAACACTGCATTTTGTAAAAACTTCACTGCAAAATTTTACATTCTGTAGTTTTTTTGTTGCTTGCTAAATGGTCAGCTCTTGATACCACTGTTGAAACCAACACAAGATGGTCTCCTTACAAAGCGCGTTTGCTATGCCTACGCCACAAATGCTGATTGTTTGTTTCTCTTGCTATGAATGATAATGTTTCTATTTGTCTATACACCCCACATTTGAGAAGCTTTAGTTTTTGGCCTCACATTTTGATTGAGTGCGCATGCTCCTGCACAGTGATGACCACAACAATAAGTCCAGATCTTTCAAATGGATGTGCATGCAAAACTCCAGTTCTAGAGCAAGACAAAAGTTCAATAGATGGACAATGGGCATTTTCTACTTGAGTTTACAGCCAGGGAATGCAAGGAAGAAGAAGAAGCTAATACCATAGCCTGGGGTTTGATCCAGTGAAGGTTGTGGAGCATTTGATTTGTTGAAGTTGCGTCTAGTGTGCTACATTTTTCACTTTCTTAAGCTACTTGTGCTCAGTCATGAAAAATATGGTATTCCCAATTTGCCTTCTCCTTCAACTCCTGCTTGCTTTTTATCTGCCAGTCACCTTCTCCTCGCCAACAATCAGAGGGTGAAAACTCCTGGCTACAAAACACTGCCACGTTGGCATGACAGCTCAGAGACATCAGCTTCAAACTGGCATTAGTTCTTTAAAGGCTAATAAGGTGTGAATGAAAAATAACTGAACTCGGCAAGAAGTGTTGACAAGGCTAAACATTTTGTTCAGTATTTGTTTATATCTGATTATTAGAGCTGTTAAACAGTAAATATGCAGTCATTGATGTCTGGCTACTCTCAGACAAGTGGACAGGACAATTACAGCAGAACGGTATTTTAGACAGTGTTTGGGCAAATGGTTGGTTTGTTGGATGGTTGTTTGGTTTCTTGTATGGTTGGTTGGTTTGTTGGATGGTTGTTTGGTTTCTTGTATGGTTGGTTGGTTTGTTTAATGGATGGATGGATGATTTGCTTTTTGAATGGTTTGTTTGTTAAATGGATGGTTGGTTTGTTGGATGTGGATGGATGGGTGGTTGGTTTGTTGGATGAATGGATGGTTTGTTGGATGGATGGATGATTTTGAAAAGGGAAGAATAATGTGTTCTAACTTGGAGACTGTAGAAGAGCCTGACTTCTTGTGTCTGGGCTCAGAAACCAGTTGGGTGTTCAAGGTCAGTGTTGAATAGCATACAAAGGCTTCCATTCTGAAACAGCATACGTGCACCTGAATTCTCTAATAGCATACAGACACATGAATTCTCTAATAGCATACGGGCACCTGAATTCTCTAATAGCATACAGACACCTGAATTCTCCAATAGTATACAGACACCTGAATTCTCCAATAGTATACAGACACCTGAATTCTTTGATTCTTTGCTAATATATACAAACACCTGAATTCTGGTATAAAAATCACATGAATTCTCTATGGAATAAAAATCCATGAATTCTCTAATAGTATACAAACACCTGGTCTCTAATAGCATATAAACACCTGGTCTCTAATAGCATACAAACACCTGGTCTCTGATAGCTCCTGCACCTGGTCAGTGATAGCAACAAAACCAGATCTTCTCTGATAGCATATAAACACCTGGTCTCTGATAGCATGTAAACACCTGGTCTCTGATAGCATATAAACACCTGGTCTCTGATAGCAGCCAGGGAATGCAAGGTCTCTGATAAGCTAATACCAACACCTGGTCTTGATCCAGTAAGGTTGTGGAGCTCTGATATTTGTTAAGTTGCCTGTCTCTGATAGCATATAAACACCTGGTCTCTGATAGCATGTAAACACCTGGTCTCTGATAGCATATAAACACCTGGTCTCTAATAGCATATAAACACCTGGTCTCTGATAGCATGTAAACACCTGGTCCTTCTCCTGATAGCATCAAACACCTGGTCAAAACACTGATAGCATATAACACCTGAGTCTCTGATAGCTTCAAAACACATGGTCTTTGAAAGCATATATAAGGTGTGATCTGATAGCATATAAATCTGGTCTCTGATAGCATATAAACACCTGTGTCTGACAGCATATAAACATTTGGTCTCAGATATTTTATAAACACCTGATCTGATAGCAGTTAAACACCTGGTCTCTGATATGCATCATAATGTCTGGCTACTCTCATAGACATAGTGGACAGGTCTCTTACAGCAGTAAACGGTATTCTCTAATAGCATATAAACACCTGGTCAAAGGGTAGCATATAAACATGGTCTCTTGATAGCTTGTAAACACCTGTTCTGATTTGTTATAAACACCTTGGTTTCTGTATAGCATATAAACACCTGGTCTCTGATGGATGGATGAACACCTGCTCTCTAATAGCATGTAAACACCTGGTGGTCTGATAGCATATAAATGGGTGTCTCTTTGATAGCATATGAATGGATGGTCTCTGATAGCATGTAAACACCTGGTCTGATAGCATAAGAATACCTGGTCTCTGATAGCAGACTGTACACCTGGCTCTGACTTCATGTGTCTGGGCCTCAGAAACCTGATAGCATATAAAGGTCACCTGTCTGATAGCATACAACACCTGCTTAGCATTCTGACACAGCTCTGATAGCACCTAAATTCACACTGGTCTCTGATAGCATACAGACACCTGGTCTCTAATAGCATATAAACACCTGAATTCTCTAATAGCATACAGACACCTGAATTCTCCAATAGTATACAGACACCTGAATTCTCCAATAGTATACAGACACCTGAATTCTTTGATAGTATACAAACACCTGAATTCTCTAATGGTATAAAAATCCATGAATTCTCTAATAGTATACAAACACCTGGTCTCTAATAGCATATAAACACCTGGTCTCTAATAGCATATAAACACCTGGTCTCTAATAGCATGTAAACACCTGAGTTCTCAAATAGCATACACACGCTTTAATTTTCTAGTGGCTTATAAATCCCTGATTAATCTAATAGCTTATCCTGAATTTTCTAATGGCTTATCCCTGAATTCTCTAATGTCTTATCCCTGAATTCTCTAATGTCTTATCCCTGAATTCTCTAATGGCTTATCCCTGAATTCTCTAATGGCTTATCCCTGAATTCTCTAATGGCATATCCCTGAATTCTCTAATGGCTTATCCCTGAATTCTCTAATGGCTTATCCCTGAATTCTCTAATGGCTTATCCCTGAGTTCTCTAATGGCTTACCCTTGAATTCTTTATGACTATACAAGCTAAAGAATTCCCATGGCATTTAAACCCACAAATTCTCTCATCATCATCATCATCATGAAGCAGGTCCTATACAGAACTCCACTTGCATCATGGCATGCTGAAAAGCCACTCAGTCGCTTGCAAACTTTCCTTCTCAGGGACTTTCATGGCCAGGGTATCCTGATATCTCATGTGGTCCCCTGCTTGTTCTGGTGAGTTCCTTAGGATCCAGAATCTATGAGTTATTTGAGAATTCTCTCACGGTATATTACCCTCATAATCCTCCAAGAGCGCATAACCCCCCAGCATCCCATGGTTGAGGTATCACCAAGTTGAAGGCTTTCAGGTGGGGTTCTGCTTGTATACACAAGGGTCACTCTATAATTTCTCAGGTCCTAGGCCACTGAAGACCACACAAAATGCCCACCGCTGTCCTATGCTTAAAGTCTAGCTGACGACAGTTCTGGTAAAATCCAGCAGCTTGCTCTGTTATCAGATGCATAAGGCAGCTGCGAGAGGTACCTACAGTCTGTTGCTAGGATTGCTATTCATAGTTGATAAAAGCACCAGTCATGACAAACCACTGGTGAACACACATTACTGCATAAGGCACACTTCCCATTTTCTGAATATGCCAGTTTACAACACACATGTGGGGAGCACAGAGAGTAACTTGTCAAGTTTATGTTAATCTACTATGTCAACAAGGGATGTTCCAGTTGTGGGACAGTATTTATTACTGTGGTTGATTGTTGCAGATTTCCCTTCGTATGAAGTACCTTGTGATGGCGGTTATACAACGTCTAACAATGTGACCTTTGAGGTGATTTCTGCAGAAGTGATCAGAGACGGCAGGTCTGGACATGTGGTAGGTGTCGTATATTTGTGTCTTCTAGGACATTTGTGGTTTGTGTGTTATCCCAGTCATTTGCTGCTCCATGTATGCTTAAAATTAAATTCAGCCAACTATTGGTGCATAACTTTAGAACCCTACACGTGTTTAGGCAGTGATGGGGAAACATGATGTTAACATAAGGATACAATACTTGTATCTGTATGTGAACATAAGAATACAGCATTTGTATCTGTAAACATAAGTATATGGCTCCCATATTTTCAGATGCTAGTAAATTTTTATATTTTGGGTTTTTACTTACGAAACCATGACAGCTAGATAGAGATTAAAATTACAAATCCAATGGTACCTCATTTAAGCCTGTAAGACGATTCTAAGCGGAGACATTTTAGTGACGGATACCACCACAGACAAATTATAGTGGAAATGGACAAAACATGGATTCCGGGCTGCGACCCAGTAAGATGAAATGACTCACTGTTTGCATTTTACACCTATAGCTATTTTGTTTCTGAACGATTCCCTTAGCAACCATTGATTGCTAGAAGTGGGACAGTTAGACCTAACTGTATATGCATATTTTAAAACCTATAATACTAAATGCCCCTAATTAACATATAAAAATGGTCGCCAGCTCACTATTTTCAAGCAAAACATTATACCTTTATGGTTATCCGCCAGTGAGCCTTTCAAGATGCACATTAAATTGTGTGTCCCGACAAGGTGAACACAAAAATGTCAGTTGACGTGACCTAATTAACATATGAAAAATCTTATACATTTACAGTTGTCATCCGATAAGTTGTGAACTGGAACCAACAGGGGCATAAAAATATATAAAGACCCTAAAACACATGCAGAAAGGAGCTAGAAAGTGAAGTTGAAAAGATAGGGAGGACACTGTGAGAGCAAATGTAATAGCAATGATTAAAATGACAGCGTGAGTTGATTGAGGACCAATGCCCCATCAGGGCATAGAAGGCAGAAGAAAAAAGACACAATTTGGCAATACGTTTTTAAAAAAAAACTGACATAGAAAGTGTATGAATGAAGATGTCTCTACAACACGAAGCACTTAAAAGTATCAACCAGTCATGATGCCAAAGTGAGAAATAAATGATACTGTGCATACATAAGGGATAACAATAAATAGCACTGGTTTTCTTACATTTGAAAAAAAAGGCAGAATTGAGATAAATACATATGACAGGTAGACGGATAGAGACAGCTTGGATGATTGATATACCTTGAGAATTTGATGTGATTATACATTCACCACAGCTTCACACACGCTGCTGCTATATCTATAAAGCCACAATGGAAATATCCATCTGGCAGGTGGAAGAGTACAATAAGGACCATTGTTATACGGTGTTGTCTTCATATACATATCAATGCTTCTCTCTTGTAAAAATATCTCTAACATAAATTTCTGTAAACTCTAAATAATGACAAACACATGAAAAAATGGTACAATGTTTGTGGATGTTTAAAAAGTAACTTACATAACATTATCAATATACTAAGCATCATAAGTTAATTATCAAAGAATCATCTTAGACAAATTTGCAATGATAGCCTAAATTAATTATTGGGATTTGGGGGTGATGAGGCAAAAATATCTCCAACAGATGTATGAACAAATGCTACAATGGTTGTGGAGAGGACAGTAGGTCTTGTTACATTTCTTTCCCTCTACCCAGCCCTGTTGTGTCATTGTGGAGAGGACAGTAGGTCTTGTTACATTTCTTTCCCTCTACCGAGCCCTGTTGTATCATTGTGGAGAGGACAGTAGGTCTTGTTACATTTCTTTCCCTCTACCTACCTCTAAACCCTGAGCCCTGTTGTATCATTGTGGAGAGGACAGTAGGCTTGTTACATCTCTTTCCCCTCTACTGAGCCCTGTTGTATCATTGTGGAGAGACAGTAGATCTTGTTACATTTCTTTCCCTCTACCGAGCCCTGTTGTATCATTGTGGAGAGGACAGTAGATCTTGTTACATTTCTTTCCCTCTACCGAGCCCTGTTGTATCATTGTGGAGAGGACAGTAGGTCTTGTTACATTTCATTCCCTCTACCCAATATCTGGAGCCCTGTTGTGTCATTGTGGAGAGGACAGTAGATCTTGTTACATCTCTTTCCCTCTACCGAGCTCTGTTGTATTTATGTGTGGAGAGGACAGTAGGTCTTGTTACATTTCTTTCCCTCTACCCAGCCCTGTTGTGTCATTGTGGAGAGGACAGTAGATCTTGTTACATCTCTTTCCCTCTACCGAGCTCTGTTGTATCATTGTGGAGAGGACAGTAGGTCTTGTTACATTTCTTTCCCTCTACCGAGCCCTGTTGTATCATTGTGGAGAGGACAGTAGGTCTTGTTACATCTCTTTCCCTCTACCGAGCTCTGTTGTATCATTGTGGAGAGGACAGTAGGTCTTGTTACATTTCTTTCCCTCTACCGAGCCCTGTTGTATCATTGTGGAGAGGACAGTAGGTCTTGTTACATCTCTTTCCCTCTACTGAGCCCTGTTGTATCATTGTGGAGAGGACAGTAGATCTTGTTACATTTCTTTCCCTCTACCGAGCCCTGTTGTGTCATTGTGGAGAGGACAGTATGTCTTGTTACATCTCTTTCCCTCTACCGAGCCCTGTTGTATCATTGTGGAGAGGACAGTAGGTCTTGTTACATTTCATTCCCTCTACCCAGCCCTGTTGTGTCATTGTGGAGAGGACAGTAGATCTTGTTACATCTCTTTCCCTCTACCGAGCTCTGTTGTATCATTGTGGAGAGGACAGTAGGTCTTGTTACATTTCTTTCCCTCTACCCAGCCCTGTTGTATCATTGTGGAGAGGACAGTAGATCTTGTTACATCTCTTTCCCTCTACCGAGCTCTTTTGTATCATTGTGGAGAGGACAGTAGGTCTTGTTACATTTCTTTCCCTCTACCCAGCCCTGTTGTGTCATTGTGGAGAGGACAGTAGATCTTGTTACATCTCTTTCCCTCTACCGAGCTCTGTTGTATCATTGTGGAGAGGACAGTAGGTCTTGTTACATTTCTTTCCCTCTACCGAGCTCTGTTGTATCATTGTGGAGAGGACAGTAGATCTTGTTACATCTCTTTCCCTCTACCGAGCTCTGTTGTATCATTGTGGAGAGGACAGTAGGTCTTGTTACATTTCTTTCCCTCTACCGAGCTCTGTTGTATCATTGTGGAGAGGACAGTAGGTCTTGTTACATTTCTTTCCCTCTACTGAGCCCTGTTGTATCATTGTGGAGAGGACAGTAGGTCTTGTTACATTTCTTTCCCTCTACTGAGCCCTGTTGTATCATTGTGGAGAGGACAGTAGGTCTTGTTACATTTCTTTCCCTCTACTGAGCCCTGATGTATCATTGTGGAGAGGACAGTAGGTCTTGTTACATTTCCCTGTCATTGCATTTCCTCTTTGATAAATAAGACAAAGTTGCAGAATTTTAATGTGATATTTTGTCTAACTTTCCATCCAGAATTACACAATTTTGATCAACCCACACAAAGAAGTGCCGAGATCCAGCCAATCAGTCGTTATACGCAGGTACTCGGATTTTGAACATCTGCATCATCAGCTAAGGAAGAAATTCCCATCACTTATATCTCGCATTTCATTTCCACGGAAAGTCTTAACTGGCAACTTTACCAGCGAAACTATAGCTAAAAGAAGTGTAGCTTTTGAACAATACCTGGCACACTTATTTTCCTTCTTTGAGATTCGATATTCTTCAGAGTTTATGGAATTTTTTGTTCGGGACGAGTTCACCATCGCAGTGTCTTTCTTTCTGAGCAAGGAATTCAGCAATGCAGCTTCCCATTTTGAAAACACGTTGCCAGTTTTGGAGAAACTTTATGGCGATTCACACCCTCACGTTTTTCATTGCCTGTGTGGGCTTGTGGTATCCTACATGAGCATAGACAAGTTGCCTACAGCTCACTCGTGTGCCGAGATGGCCTTGCGATGCTCAGGTTCAGCTGACGCAGAGCTAGTGACCGCACTGATCTTAACGACCATCAGACTTTGTTGGAGTTTAGGGAAGGACAAGCAGGACCTGGAGAAGAAATTACAGACGATGAGTGCTCGTGGGGTCAGTGTTCATTCAGTCAAGGATCTTCATGAGCTGCTGCAAGGGACGTTTTACTTGAGAAGTCAGAATGTTACCCAACGAAAAGACCTTTTGCCTGAGAATAAATATGTTACCTAGCAAAGAGACATTTTGACCTGAGGTCAGATTGTAACCAAACAACAGTGTTTTTTTCTGAGAAGTTTTTTTTACCTCAGTGGAATGTTTTACCTGACACACATTTTTGGGTCATTTTATCTGAGAGATCAGAATGTCTCATAATAGTGATACATTTTCCCCTTAATAAGTCAAAATGTCACATTACAAAGTGACATATTGTTCGAGAAATCAAAATTTAGTCACATTGCGAAGAGATGTTATCATAGTAATCACAATGTGGTCACATTAGCAGAAAAAATACTTTATCAGAAAAGTATAGAAAACAGCAAAAAATGATTGTTTTTGTTGTTGTTGCTGTTGCAAAGTCGAAACTTGGTAATTAAATAAACAATTTAATATGAGCAATTAACACAGTAAAGGGCATTGAACCCGAGAGGTTAAATATCTAAGATATAAACTTGGCAGGATCAGAATTTTGACACAAAGGAGCTGGTCACCGGAGAAGTTGGAAATTGATCACATGACACAGAACTAGCCACAGCTCAAAGCACAAACAATTTATTCTGATTTGTTAATTGTATATTCCTAGATAAAAGATCACTGTTATTGTGCAGGAACATATCTATCAATGCTGCCGCCTACACCCATAGACTGCACATGAAGAATCACAGCAGCACACTGGCATTCTGTTGCTGCCTACACCCATAGATTGCACATGAAGAATCACAGCAGCACACTGGCATTCTGTTGCTGCCTACACCCATAGACTGCACATGAAGAATCATAGCAGCACACTGGCATTCTGTTGCTGCCTACACCCATAGACTGCACATGAAGAATCACAGCAGCACACTGGCATTCTGTTGCTGCCTACACCCATAGATTGCACATGAAGAATCGCAGCAGCACACTGGCATTCTGTTGCTGCCTACACCCGTAGATTGCACATGAAGAATCATAGCATCACACTGGCATTCTGTTGCTGCCTACACCCATAGATTGCACATGTAGAATCGCAGCAGCACACTGGCATTCTGTAGCTGCCTACACCCATAGATTGCACATGAAGAATCGTAGCAGCACACTGGCATTCTGTTGCTGCCTACACCCATAGACTGCACATGAAGAATCACAGCGGCACACTGGCATTCTGTTGCTGCCTACACCCATAGACTGCACATGAAGAATCACAGCAGCACACTGGCATTCTGTTGCTGCCTACACCCATAGACTGCACATGAAGAATCGTAGCAGCACACTGGCATTCTGTAGCTGCCTACACCCATAGACTGCACATGAAGAATCGTAGCAGCACACTGGCATTCTGTAGCTGCCTACACCCATAGACTGCACATGAAGAATCACAGCAGCACACTGGCATTCTGTTGCTGCCTACACCCATAGATTGCACATGAAGAATCGCAGCAGCACACTGGCATTCTGTTGCTGCCTACACCCATAGATTGCGCATGTAGAATCGCAGCAGCACACTGGCATTCTGTTGCTGCCTACACCCATAGATTGCACATGAAGAATCATAGCAGTACACTGGCATTCTGTTGCTGCCTACACCCATAGATTGCACATGAAGAATCACAGCAGCACACTGGCATTCTGTTGCTGCCTAGACCCATAGATTGCACATGAAGAATCGCAGCAGCACACTGGCATTCTGTTGCTGCCTACACCCATAGATTGCGCATGTAGAATCACAGCAGCACACTGGCATTCTGTTGCTGCCTACACCCATAGATTGCACATGAAGAATCATAGCAGCACACTGGCATTCTGTTGCTGCCTACACCCATAGATTGCACATGAAGAATCGCAGCAGCACACTGGCATTCTGTTGCTGCCTACACCCATAGATTGCACATGAAGAATCATAGCAGCACACTGGCATTCTGTTGCTGCCTACACCCATAGATTGCACATGAAGAATCATAGCAGCACACTGGCATTCTGTTGCTGCCTACACCCATAGATTGCACATGTAGAATCGCAGCAGCACACTGGCATTCTGTTGCTGCCTACACCCATAGATTGCACATGTAGAATCGCAGCAGCACACTGGCATTCTGTTGCTGCCTACACCCATAGATTGCACATGAAGAATCATAGCAGCACACTGGCATTCTGTTGCTGCCTACACCCATAGATTGCACATGTAGAATCGCAGCAGCACACTGGCATTCTGTAGCTGCCTACACCCATAGATTGCACATGTAGAATCGCAGCAGCACACTGGCATTCTGTAGCTGCCTACACCCATAGATTGCACATGAAGAATTGTAGCAGCACACTGGCATTCTATTGCTGCCTACACCCATAGACTGCACATGAAGAATCACAGCAGCACACTGGCATTCTGTTGCTGCCTACACCCATAGACTGCACATGTAGAATCACAGCAGCACACTGGCATTCTGTTGCTGCCTACACCCATAGATTGCACATGAAGAATCGTAGCAGCACACTGGCATTCTGTTGCTGCCTACACCCATAGACTTCACATGAAGAATCATAGCAGCACACTGGCATTCTGTTGCTGCCTACACCCATAGATTGCACATGAAGAATTGTAGCAGCACACTGGCATTCTATTGCTGCCTACACCCATAGACTGCACATGAAGAATCACAGCAGCACACTGGCATTCTGTTGCTGCCTACACCCATAGACTGCACATGTAGAATCATAGCAGCACACTGGCATTCTGTTGCTGCCTACACCCATAGATTGCACATGAAGAATCGTAGCAGCACACTGGCATTCTGTTGCTGCCTACACCCATAGACTTCACATAAAGAATCACAGCAGCACACTGGCATTCTGTAGCTGCCTACACCCATATATTGCACATGAAGAATCACAGCAGCACACTGGCATTCTGTTGCTGCCTACACCCATAGATTGCACATGAAGAATCACAGCAGCACACTGGCATTCTGTAGCTGCCTACACCCATAGATTGCACATGAAGAATCACAGCAGCACACTGGCATTCTGTAGCTGCCTACACCCATAGATTGCACATGAAGAATCACAGCAGCACACTGGCATTCTGTTGCTGCCTACACCCATAGATTGCACATGAAGAATCACAGCAGCACACTGGCATTCTGTTGCTGCCTACACCCATAGATTGCACATGAAGAATCACAGCAGCACACTGGCATTCTGTAGCTGCCTACACCCATAGATTGCACATGAAGAATCACAGCAGCACACTGACATTCTGTAGCTGCCTACACCCATAGATTGCACATGAAGAATCACAGCAGCACACTGGCATTCTGTAGCTGCCTACACCCATAGATTGCACATGAAGAATCATAGCAGTACACTGGCATTCTGTTGCTGCCTACACCCATAGATTGCACATGAAGAATCACAGCAGCACACTGGCATTCTGTTGCTGCCTAGACCCATAGATTGCACATGAAGAATCGCAGCAGCACACTGGCATTCTGTTGCTGCCTACACCCATAGATTGCGCATGTAGAATCACAGCAGCACACTGGCATTCTGTTGCTGCCTACACCCATAGATTGCACATGAAGAATCATAGCAGCACACTGGCATTCTGTTGCTGCCTACACCCATAGATTGCACATGAAGAATCGCAGCAGCACACTGGCATTCTGTTGCTGCCTACACCCATAGATTGCACATGAAGAATCATAGCAGCACACTGGCATTCTGTTGCTGCCTACACCCATAGATTGCACATGAAGAATCATAGCAGCACACTGGCATTCTGTTGCTGCCTACACCCATAGATTGCACATGTAGAATCGCAGCAGCACACTGGCATTCTGTTGCTGCCTACACCCATAGATTGCACATGTAGAATCGCAGCAGCACACTGGCATTCTGTTGCTGCCTACACCCATAGATTGCACATGAAGAATCATAGCAGCACACTGGCATTCTGTTGCTGCCTACACCCATAGATTGCACATGTAGAATCGCAGCAGCACACTGGCATTCTGTAGCTGCCTACACCCATAGATTGCACATGTAGAATCGCAGCAGCACACTGGCATTCTGTAGCTGCCTACACCCATAGATTGCACATGAAGAATTGTAGCAGCACACTGGCATTCTATTGCTGCCTACACCCATAGACTGCACATGAAGAATCACAGCAGCACACTGGCATTCTGTTGCTGCCTACACCCATAGACTGCACATGTAGAATCACAGCAGCACACTGGCATTCTGTTGCTGCCTACACCCATAGATTGCACATGAAGAATCGTAGCAGCACACTGGCATTCTGTTGCTGCCTACACCCATAGACTTCACATGAAGAATCATAGCAGCACACTGGCATTCTGTTGCTGCCTACACCCATAGATTGCACATGAAGAATTGTAGCAGCACACTGGCATTCTATTGCTGCCTACACCCATAGACTGCACATGAAGAATCACAGCAGCACACTGGCATTCTGTTGCTGCCTACACCCATAGACTGCACATGTAGAATCATAGCAGCACACTGGCATTCTGTTGCTGCCTACACCCATAGATTGCACATGAAGAATCGTAGCAGCACACTGGCATTCTGTTGCTGCCTACACCCATAGACTTCACATAAAGAATCACAGCAGCACACTGGCATTCTGTAGCTGCCTACACCCATATATTGCACATGAAGAATCACAGCAGCACACTGGCATTCTGTTGCTGCCTACACCCATAGATTGCACATGAAGAATCACAGCAGCACACTGGCATTCTGTAGCTGCCTACACCCATAGATTGCACATGAAGAATCACAGCAGCACACTGGCATTCTGTTGCTGCCTACACCCATAGATTGCACATGAAGAATCGCAGCAGCACACTGGCATTCTGTTGCTGCCTACACCCATAGATTGCACATGAAGAATCACAGCAGCACACTGGCATTCTGTTGCTGCCTACACCCATAGATTGCACATGAAGAATCACAGCAGCACACTGGCATTCTGTAGCTGCCTACACCCATAGATTGCACATGAAGAATCACAG